GGGTGTAACACGTAATTACCTGCCCAAATGCTGATTTTGTCTCACCATTCTTAGATAAATGTAGTTGTGTGGGAGATAAATTACTTTTTACCAACCCATTATTAGGGTAAATTGGGATTACCGAGTGGGAGACAAAAATTACTCTCCCATTTTGAGACAAAATTACTCCTGATTTTTTACAGTGTACGCTCGAGATATCCGCCAAACGTTCGCTCGGGCGATACAGCCGCCAACCAAAAGCATACAATTCATTTTAGATCGGGTGGTACAGCAAATAAGTTTTATTGCTGGTACAGCAAATAAGTTTTATTGCTGGTACAGCAAATAAGTTTTCTGGTACAAAAAATAGTTTTGTTGACAGCAAATAATTTTGCTGACATGGAAAAAAATTTTGCTGACAAAGCAAATAAATTTGCTGACACAGCAATTAATTTTGCTACCACACCAAATATTTTGCCGATGCAGCAAATATTTTGCTGATACAGCAAATAATTTGCTGATACTAGGTAGTGCAACAGATGGGCGGAGACGAACCACTTGTTTGGGACCACTGATCTGACATTTACCTTGTCCCTCTCTTTTTTAAATAGAGACTTTTATAAAAGCTTATATAAAATCTTATATAGGGTTTAAAATGTTTAATATTTAATATTTGCTTAATACCAGTTTTAGTAGGTGTTGTACACTCTGCATACATGGCCATGTACACACTATTTGCTGCATACATGATCATGTGCGCAGTATTTGCTGCATGCATGTAGGTATTCATGTAAGGCTCTTTGAATTTTTCCCGGAGGGCTCGTCAAATTAACGACTTATTCCCGATTTTTCCCGGCACTACAAAATTCCCGGCTAATTCCCGATTTCCCGGTGAGTGGACACCCTGCATCTCTCCAATGCCGAACGCTCCGGGAGTCCGCCTTGGCCAAGTGGATAGCGCGCCGGAGTTCTGTGCGGCGAGCTCTACTCGCACGGTGCTCAAACTATTCACCTTACTTAAGAGTGCGAGAGAGGGAAAGCAGGAGACTTACCTACAAGACAGGCTGGCAAGAACATGGTAAGTATGTCCGTGAAACACGTGAGAGCAACGATGTCTACACGAAAGTCCGTGATGAGATCCACAGTAGCTTTAAACGGTAGCAGTAACACGGTGCAAGTCCACTGGGCGACGAGGCTTGCCAGTAGTCCGCGCAAGTACCGAGCACTGGACACCAGGCCCGCGTGGATTTCTGTACAGCTTCATATCAATGTCAAGAGGGTACTCCAGGGCTCGACTAGAACGGAAGGGAAATAACAAAAATCGTCGGGCTGGTCGGACGAAGAGAGGAGTGGGGTACTGCCCCCATCCTGCCCCGCTCCTCCCCCCACGCCCAACGATTTTTGTTGTACTCATTCCGGTCTAACCGAGCCCTTGGGTTTCCCTCTAACTTATTGGAATTTCCAGAAGATTCACTATTAATCACTACTAGAAATTCCCAAGGGATTTAATTCTTAGTTCTTGCATCGTAAAACGGCTGTTAAAAGGAGGCTAAAGTCCCCCCCGGGTAAAAATGGTTTGTATAC